AAGGTCATGGTAGGCTATAAATGGAGCATTAGATTTGCTAAAAACTGAAGAATCCATATCATGCTTGAAGATAAAGAGATCCAGAGTACTATGAGATGGTGAATTCTTATCAATGATGTGATGAGTCGGCTCAATGGATATGACCCTCATGGCATTTGTATGTCAATCAACTCACGAAGATTTTTAGCTTCATAAAAAGAAATAGATAAAAAGTCAGCATTAAAATTCTCAGTAAGATTTACCTTGTTATAAAATGGTAAAAATGTAGCCAATGCATTGAAGAAAAAGGTTGGTGATGTTTCAGATGAACGATAATGTACTACTGCAATGAGATGCTCAAACAAGTTTTCTTTAATCTTGATTATTATGATTCGGGTGTGTTAGAAAATGTGAGGTTAAATAAGGCATCTTAATATCTAATAATAATAATAATAATATCTAGACATCATAAAAGTCTCTAAAATAGAAGACGACACCACCACTTTCCTTGCTCTCGCGATCATGTCGATGAAAATTATAACGTCATAGCTTGAGATGTAAATCTGGCTGATTCTTTACTAAGAAAGTTTCGATGACAGCAAAAACATCATAGTTCTTTTCTTGGCAGCGTACTTTGAGTAAGGTAAAGTGAGCAGTGGAATATGGTAACTTATATTTGAATGAGCTATATTGAATGTGGTGGTGACCAGAGTTGATTGACTAATTGATTTTTATGTTAAAGTATATTTTTATATATGATCAATTCTGGAATCAAATGTAGAGATTGAGCTCGAACTGAGATCAAACGATTGATGTTGTTGAGACTCCATAAGAACCTGCTGCATAACAAGTACCGCAGAGGAGCATCTGACCGAGATCATATCCTTATGAGTAGGAGTTTCTCTCTTCCATCTAATAGGAGGTCTCACTGAAGGCAGTACAAACAGATCGTCAGCTGCAAGGATCGGGATTAATTTAGATCTTAAGGATTTGCGCACATATTTGGCTATGCGAGAATGATAGAAAGACATTAAGCGTAATTCGCTTCGATGAATGTCGAATGGTCATTTTCGTTCGTCGCGAGCTGTCGTAAAGTAGAACGAGAGATCGAGAAAAAGGTTACATGAGAGCGAGCTAGCCATGGCTCACACTCGTAAAGTGGGAAGGAAGAACGTGGTCGATAAGGCAGTAGCATTTCGTCTCGGTGTTATCTTGGCTGGACTCGTCAGTGAGGTTTAACGGTCGATAACACCTGCCTCATACGCTCGGAATGGTTGAGCTACTATGCGGGCTTATATATTCACAGAGCGACATTCCTGCCGCTTGCGGTCGGCCGCTATCATCTAGTGAGAAAATAGGTGGATCAGGAGATCGCCACACATATACATGTAGATTTTTTACCATGGGTCTCACATAGCCCAAATATTCACTAGTCTTTCTTGCCTGCTGGAGAAAAAGACTGACTTAGGTTAGATAGGTCTAAGATAGTCCGATGTAGCTCCTCGGTAACCAAAAAGTTAGGCTGAAGTTTTTCCACGGAGGCGAGCAGATAGTTTTATTATAATACCACAAATCGTTGGGATACCAGATGAATAAATGAAAGCCGTAGTCTATTTGTGAGAGGATGTCGGAGATGATACAGTCTGACCAGCAGTGTTTGTGCCCGGGGGAGATGATGTGCATGTACTTGGTCTCCAATCCTTAGCTGCATAAACGTTGGATAAGTCGAAACCCTGGCCAAATATCAGAGGCCATAAAACAAATTTGTCCGCATTGCAGTGGGTACCCTTGTAATCGACCGGAAGACCATAAACTAGAATCTTCGCCTCATTAGTCTTCGTCGCCAAGACATCTCGAACCTCGTTGTCAGCTCTCAATTTGTCAATATCCTCCCACATCTCTATCTAACAGGTGTAAAGGCCTGAACGTTCTTGTGTACATCACAAAGAATTGCATAAAATTGTGCAAACCGCAGAGGAGCAGCAGTATTCTGCTAATTTGACGTGCGTGCTATATCGATGTTCGACATTTCAGGTGAGGGTGAGGCAGTGGTGATAATTGAGGTTACAGCTGGCGATGGAACCGATCCTCGTCTAGGGTCCAAGGATTGCAGGGTGTCTGTAGATTACATAGCTGAGTTCTTTCCGAATGATTCGTGGGGCGAGGCAGTTCTCTTCTTGCCCTTAAAGGACATAGGAGATGAGGGAGTATTAAAGGGCACAGCTTGAAATGACTGGACAGAGTACTCTGTAGATGTTGGAAAGTCTGGTAAAGGCAATTTACAATAAAAGAAGAGACCAGATACGTGCTACTGTAAACCAGAGTCAATACAACTCAGGCGCATGGCGCATTTCAGCGAGCACAGAGGATGGTAATGTCAGATCTTCGTAGAGACTTCTTACACATTGCACAGTTTCGACCTGGCATGCATAGGGAATAAACACGTGAAATTTTATTGCCAAAAGGCCATGTTGAAATTTTAAATTGGCACCACGGTTATGGAATGTCGACAAAGTAGAAAAGTGAAAATGAAGGCAGGTGCAGCTAATAAATTATCATCAGCGATAAAACAATATAATTAGATCTAAGATCGATTAGCTGAGGTCGATAAAATGATAGGTAACGTCCGCATGACTGTGCTTAAAATTGATCAAAATCTAAAATAGTGTTCTTACAGCTGTATGCCATTGATTATTTGCAGATTAATATTGCTGTTTGTTGTTGTTGTTGTAGTGGACCAGTTGTTGATTTATTTCAATTTCGTGTTGTTGCGCTGTTTCAGTTGACTGATACGTCTGTAAAACTGAGATGCAGACGAACAAACAGGCAAAATAAAACACTATTTGAAGTGCACATTTTTGTGCACTTTAAATAGTGAGTGTATATAACACTATATGAGGCATTTCACGTCAAGTCTCCCAGCGCGGCGCGCGGGTGCTCAAATACGGCAAATTTCCTATAACTTCAACTCGTATTTCCACCACGTAAACTTATCTTTGAAAAATAGTTTATAAGCATTTTCTATGTATTTTTTCCTCAGCTTTCCGATGGTGCGGTTAGTTTTTCCATATTTTTTTCATTTACACCGTTAAATTTATAATTGTTTATAACAAATTGATATATCTCAAAAAGTATATTTTTAATATTTTTTTTTATTGTTTCAATCGAAAGCTGAGCATTTTTTTCATAGAAAAATATCTTTTCCAGGAAATGCTCAAGTTTTATATTTTTGCGAAATAGAACGTGAAAGAGTAGACGCAACGCCGCGCGATCGGGTTCGCCGACTTGGCTCGGTCTGTCTTGTGACCTATTCAACATTCGACTTTTACCTTTTACTCTTAATTTATATTGTTTTTATCTATTTTCTTATTTGGTTTTTACTTTCTCTTAATTGACTCTTTGTTGCTTGACTTGGCTTTTTTTTACTTTAATTGGCTTTTTTTTCTACTTTACTTTACCGAGCACTTTTTTTACGTTAGTTGGTTTTTTTTTGCTTCAGTTGATACTTTCACTGTAGAAATTCGTTTTTTTTTCTCTTTTGGAAATATTTGATATTCAGAACTAGATGTATTTTTCAGCATTAATTTAGTTTCATCTATTGGAATAATGGCATGAAATTGTAAAGTTCCTGGTATCATTTTAGCCTGATCTAGTCTTGTTTTCAAGTCCAAGACAGTTTGTTCATAAGTTTCGTTACTACTATAAAAAACTTTCGTCTCTTTACAATAATTTTTAGCCCAGTTGTAAAGGTTTTCCGGAGTCAAAATTCGACTATTGGAAGAAAGTTGTAGACTTGCCCGTTTTGCACCTCTTTTTATATTCGCACCTATACCATCGCACGCACCTTTACCATGCACGGTGGCATAAAAATGCCATTCAGCTGGAATACCAAAATCTCTCTCGTGAAAAAGAAGATTGTAAAAATTCTTTTTATTTTTAAAATGTTGACCTGCTCCATCTGTAAAATAATAAATTTTCTTGACTGTAGAGAAACTAGCTTTAAGATGCATTATTATAATTTTTTGATACTCATAAACTGAAAGAGTATCATGGTTTAAATTATCGGAAATGATAGCAATGCTTACATGCTTAAGCTCATTACTTTGATTGTAATAAATCACCACTGTAAAAACTGTTGCTTGGTTGTTATTCCAATGGAAAGACTGCGTTGAATTTTGTATTACAAACGCATAATTTTCTGCGAAATCACAGCAAACAAGAAATTCTCCCTCTAACAGATTTTTCTTCAAGTCATTCATGAAAAGTGATTGCTTCTTAGCGAAGTAATCATGAGTTTTTAACTTCATTAATTTATCGCTTAGTGTCTCCATGAATTCATGCACATGAACAGTTTTCGAAGCTATTGTACATCGATCAGTTTGGAACCAAGATTCATATTGTATTTCGTAAATATTATTTTTTTCAAAACATTCAAACAAATGTTTTCTCAATTTAGACATATTAGGGCAGTCTAAACATTTAGTTAGATAGCATTTTTCATTTGCGTTTCTACACACAAGTGCTTTAATGCAGTCGTGGTAGTTTTTAAGAGGAAATTTAGTACTGTTTGTTAAATTCTCTAGATCTAAAGCAGCGAGCATGAGTTTAACATTTTCATGATGTACACATACGCATACGTTATGTGTACCACTACTTCCATCTAAAACACAATGCAATGGTATTAATTGAGTAAATTTAGTAATTCCTATCTTGACATTTTCATTTTCCTTTTGAAATAAAGCAAAAAGTTCATTGAGATTACCTAACAGTAATCTTTTCGTAACATGTTCTCTTTTGCCATTCTCTTGTTTGACAGATATATAATCTTTTATACCCGGCATAATCCGACTAACATTGTCTTTCTCATAAAACTATTTAACTAAATTCACTGTTTCAGCTGTAAGTGCTTTACTGCTTTTCTTCTCAGGTAATGAAAAAATTCTTTTCTTATCAACTAACTCTTTCGCACTTCGAGCTTCCCACTCACTACAACCAAGCTCTCTTATCAAATCCGCGCGTCCCTAAAATTCAGGAGCAAGAGTAAGTAATTGTATTCGGTCCTGTTTAATTGTTGACTCTGAAAATTTTTTCTTTATTTGTTCAAGAACTGCCACACCTGCTAAGTGATATTCATTATCACAGTCTACTTTAGCTATTTTAGCATTAGATGGAGATAAATCCGGTTGCGGTCTGCCGTCGACAGTTGGCACAGATTTTTGCTTGCTCTGATACTTGGGGATATTTACATCTTAAAGCGTTTGGGAAATCAAATAAATCTTTGCTTGAGGAATGATTGATTTTATTCAAAGGATTTATGCATTTTAATTTCTACGCTGAAACCATTATAGTTGCTACAATTAGCAGATGAAAAAACAAGTAAATAGGTGCAGATGATTTAAATGTCGAATAGGTATCGAATTAGTCGTCGCACTTATTTGAATTTGCCGTGGAAATTGAAATACAGATAAACAATTTTAACGAATACAGCACCTAGTGACCAAAAAAGAAATCAATAAAGAAACAGCCCGGGTGTACCGGATCGCGCGCCGTCGCGGCGTTGCGACGACTCTTTCACGTTCTATTTTGCAAATATAAAACTTGAGCACTTCCTGGAAAAGATGTTTTTCTATGTAAAAAATGCTCAGCTTTCGATTGAAACAATAAAAAAAAATATTAAAAATATACTTTTTCAGATATATCAATTTGCTATAAACAATTATAAATTTAACGGTGTAAATGAAAAAATATGGAAAAACTAACCGCACCATTGAAAAGCTGAGGAAAAAATACATAGAAAATGCTTATAAACTATTTTTCAAAGATAAGTTTACGTAGTGGAAATACGAGTTGCCGTATTTGAGCGCCCGCGCGCCGCGCTGGGAGACTTGACGTGAAATGCCTCATATGCACTCACGGCAGCAAAATCCTTCAGCGGCCAAATAAATATTGCTAAATTGCAAAATTTTATGATGTGAGTTTGATAGCCAACTGAAGGAAGCTGCCTTAAAAAGCTCAACTCTACGGAGATGAAAAAATTCGGATAAAACTAATAGATTATCGGAGTACTTGGCAATTAGATGTTATACGTACCGAGATAGAGAGAGAGAGAGAGAGACGACCTGACCTGACAGAGACTGTGGCTGAAGCTGGTGTCGATATGGCTCAGTAAGTTAACGGCAGACAGAAGGCAGTGGCAATAGTAGACCCTTGGTGGTGATGGTTAGGCTTCGCTCTTCTGTTTGTTAGTGCTCGACGCTGTCGTTGCCTTTCGCTGCTTTTGTAGTGGCGATGTATAGTACGGTGGTGACGGCACTCACTCTTGTGTGCGCCTTCTCGGCCCTCACGAATGATGTGCGTGTTCTCTCTCCCCCCACCGTGCGCTTGTTGGTTCGAGTAACGCTGGCTGCTTCGCTCTAGCGAGCAGATCACCGCGGGCCGCTCGTGCTTGTTAGTTCGTTTGATAGGACGTATCGACTTTCTTATTTCTCTCTTGCCGCTCGCAATTGGCTCCTGATCGGTAATGGTTCTTGACTTCCATTACGCTTGCCATTGCCACAGTAAAGAAGTAAGTCGTGGGAGGGAGAGAGAGGGGGGGTGAGAGAGAGCAAGCCAGATAGAGCCGGGCAAGGCCCCGTCACAATTGAAAAATTCACTTTTATACTATTTTAATATTCAAAGTACTAACTTTCATTGATGAGGGTGATTATACTATTGAAAAATATTTATATTTTTTTAAATTTATTTTCTAAAAATGCAGAAAAACATTCGGTTGTAATTGCACTATTTTTGAATTTTTACTGCAGAAAATAATGTCGATTTTTTACTTTTTCGTATATACAGAATATGTGTTGTAACTACCAAAAGCCAAACACACCAGAATTTGTTTTATTTTTCATAAAGATTATTCCCCACTTCGTTTTTCAAAAACATTTTGACTAGAAGAAAAGTTATTTAAAAAATACTCTTTTTAGGGCTAAAACTTGAGGGTGAATTTCACTCCTTAAATGTGTTTTTCCACCGATAAAAAAAAACACGAATCACTTTAATCACTTTAGGCACTTTAATGTCCTACAACATGTACAAGAATTTTCAAAATCGGTGAGTTTGGGTTTGGGTTGAGGTACCGTCCTTGTGAATAACAAATCTTCGAAGGTTTCAGTAGAGCTGTGTGTAAGAATATGTCATTGTATACTAGTAAATAATTTAATTATTACTAATTTTATTATTTACGATTGCATATTTTATTTGTCTAATTCTTGTTTCCTTTTCGGAATTTAATCTTCGATTGTATGTTAGATTTCGGGCAAAATTTTTATATCGTATAATATTATTAACTTATATTAAAATCAATAAAATGCTATTTGATTAAATATAAATGGTGAATTAATTTTGAAACAATCTTTAGAAATCATAGAAAACGGTTACATTACATACGATTAGCTATGGCTGCCATGCACTCTATTTTAAAATGAAAACTGTTCGATTAAATACTATTGGAAAATTATTCTTGAAATAATTATTAGAATCCATAGAATTACGATTACATTAAATACGATTTGTTATGGTTCTTATTCACTACACATTAAAATAAATAAAAAACTGTTCAGTTAAATGCTATTGAGAAATTTTCCTTTAAAAATCTTTTAAAATCTATAAAATATGATTTAATAAAATTCTATTAAATTAATGAATTAATTTTTATAACAAGTATTGTTTAAAATTATTTGATATGATTCAAATTAACCCATTAGCACCTGAACGGACATTTTTCGTTGTCCAATTTTTACGTAATATTATGTCAATAGTTGAATTGAAAAAAATTCCGAAACCATTGTCTCTGATATTTTTGATTGAAAATGGTTACAGGTCCAGAAAATGATTTTTAGAATTGAAAAATTGAAAAAGAAAACAAAAAAACGTGATTATTTGATGAAAAAAGAAATTTTAGTCATATTTTGTTTTTCTTTTTTCAAAACTGGTAAAAAAGGTTTCATAACATCTAGAATAAACATTTTTAGCATGATATTATTTTTAAATATTTTTGTTTAAAGCAAATGACGTCGAAAATGGGAAATTTTTTTCTTTAAATTCATCAATGTTTTTTGTAAAGGTATGACTATTGTTAAAAACTTCATAAAAATAAAAACGTTTTCAAATCGATCAAAGAATATTCTTAAATTTTTTTACAATATAAAAATGTATTTCTTATTCTTATATATTTTTTATAAAATTCATATTTTATAAAAGTCTTCAAAAATATCTCAAAAGATTTAAGCATATTCTTTGACTGATTCTGAAAAATTTTCGTTCTTAAAAAGTATATATCAAAGTCAATAGTTTTCGAGAAAAATTTATAGAAGCATGAAAAAAATGCATAGAAAGAGAGTCTCCCTCGTATACTTTCTTCAAACTTCTGTCACTATCCTTCTTGACCAGTGAGCCGGGATAATATAACTACTAACAAGGTAAAGATAAGAGATTATATCAAAGATATTATAAGAGAGATTTAAAATGAGTTGTTTTCTTCTCACCAATCGATCCCCTCGAAATGAGACGGTTGATTAATATTGCAATAATTCTTGTCTAATACTCCATTATAATACATAGTTCAGAAAATTTTTTGGTAGAGCTCAAACTGTATTATGTTAATATATATGAAATGTACTTACTTGATTTTATTGTCTCCATCTGTCAAAACATCATTCATTTTGATAGCATAAAGATTCTGAGCAAAAACCTATAAAAAAGATATCATGTTCATTTGAAATGAAAAAGTATAGACAGTGTAGAAAACAATAATAAATAATGAATTATTATTTATAATTGTAAAGAATAATTTCTTAATACTAGCAAAACGTATTATCATTTATGATTATCATGTTATAGAGAAAGAGCATTTGAAAAGAAAGGGGAGAAGCATTGAATCGCCATCGGAAAGCAGGGAGGTGCGTGGAGGAGCGAAATGATCAATCAGCAACCTTATCGCTATACGAGTATATATGGTTATAATCACTAAAAAAACCACAGCTCAAAAAAAACTGTGAGAAGAGTAAGCATTTCTATAGGAACTCCGTATCGACACACAACTTCACAAACAAATATTTCTACAATAATTTTTGTTCGTACATTACAAAGAAGATAGGCTTCTACCCATTTTGTAAAACAATCAATTATAACTCTCTGATACGTATATCCTAAAGTAGAAATTAGAAAAGGGTCTAAAATATCCATTTGAAGTCTTTCAAATGGTGATCCTACATTAGAAATTTTCATCTGATTGTGGCCTTTATCAGATGAACCTTTTCTGGCAATACAAATGGAGCAAGATTTACACCAATTTTCAACATCATTTTTGCAGAAATCTCAATAAATTCTCCTACGAATTTGATCTAAGGTTTTATTTATATTGAAATGACCATCTGAAGGAGAATCATGAACTTATTCTGAAACAAAATAAAAAAAATCTTTGGGTAGAATGAATTGAAGAACTCGGCGTTAGGCTGCGGTAGCGCTCCAGCGGACTCACGGTCGAAAGCGACCGGACACCGAGGCATCTTCTTTTGATTAGGGCTACGCTTTCCGATATGTCGGGCCCTTGAATTTTATGATTGATTTCGATAGCAAAAATGCTCAGGAATACGTAGGAGCAAGAATTTTTCAAAAAAAAAATATACTTTTTGAGATATTAGCAATTGTTTAAACAAAAAGTTAATAACTTTCGAAAAAAATTTTTTATTGTTTATTGTTGTAATTATTTCGAAAGTTCAAGGTATTATAAGTAATTTGGGAAATATCCGATTCGGTATCTTTATTAGTTTTTTAGATTAAAGCTAAAGTACCTTTCGACCGTGAGTCCGCTGGAGCGCTACCGCAGCCTTACGCCGAGGCGTCTTCTTTTGATTAGGGCTACGCTTTCCGATATGTCGGGCCCTTGAATTTTATGATTGATTTCGATAGCAAAAATCCTCAGGAATACGTAGGAGCAAGAATTTTTCAAAAAAAAAATATACTTTTTGAGATATTAGCAATTGTTTAAACAAAAAGTTAATAACTTTCGAAAAAAAATTTTTATTGTTTATTGTTGTAATTATTTCGAAATTTTAAGGCATTATAAGTATTTTGAAAAAAATCCGACTTCGATATCTTTATTAGTTTTTAAAATATAGCCGTTTGAAAATTTTTTATCATTTTTCTTAAATTGTTAATAACTTTTGATATAATTAATGTATCGTCTCCAAAATTTGGGAAAAATCTCAGTTTTATGTGTACAACAATTGTGCCAAATGAAAAAAAAATCCGTAACCTAAGGGTTACAAGTCAATCGAAATAGCCAAGAATTACCCATATATATATATATATATTGTTATTTCAGTAGTTATTTCAGTAGATTGATGAATATTTTTTTGACCAGTTATTCGATCTAATTGCTCAAATAACTGGTTAAAAACACCTCATGAAAATGCCACCGCTCCTTGCTATAACCGATTTCGCCAAAATAATAAAATTTTTAATTTTATTTTCTCGGTTGATGTTGAAAATAACCATTTTTATTACTAGTCTCCCAATCACAAAAGAAAATTGGACTGACTTTTTTAAAACACTAGGAAATCGCTTCATGGCAGGAGCAGATTATAATACAAAACATCCGTGGTGAGGATCAAGATCAGCAACTCAAAAATACAGAGGTAGAGTACTCTATGAAATACTCCAAAAAAATAACTACACTCCGATATCGACTAGAGAACCAACATACTGGCCTACAGATACAAACAAGCTTCTGGATTAGATTGATTTTGCTATAGTAAAAGGTTCAAACAAGAATTATTATAAAGTGTCATCATGCTTAGATTTATCATCGGATAATTCGCCAGTATTGATTACCCTCCACCACCAAGTATTCAACAATGTATACAATCACAAAGTCGACTGGAAAAAGTATGCTCTTACCATAGAGAAACGCATTATGTGCGATGTCCCTCTCAAAACAACAGCTAATATAGAAAGCAGTGTTAATTCACTCAACGTCCTTCTAACTGAAACTATTAACGATTGTTTTACGATACTAAACAGAAACAGTACACAACAAATGACGTCTACTAGAATAGCCGAAAAGATTAAAGAAAACATCACTAGAAAAATATATCAGATAACCAGATCAAGTCAAGACAAACCTAAACTAAATAAAGCAAGCAAACATCTAAAGAAAATGTTACAAGAACAAACAATCACACAGACACAGACTATCTTAAAACACTAAGTCCAACAGGATCAACAGATTACTCAACTATGGAAAGCTATAAAATGATTTAAAAGACCAACTACGTTCATATCGCCTATCCGAAAGCCAGATGGTAAATTGGCAAGATCGGATGAGGAAAAAGCTGAGACCTTCGCAAATCATCTTAGTGAATTATTCCACCTACACCATAGAATAATTACCGAACAGGAAGAAGAAATCTTTCTAAAAGAGACCGATGTTCAAGACAGTATGAATGACAGGACATATATACTCCCGGATTTGACAATATCACAGGAAAAATGATCAAAATGTTACCTAAAATTGCGATAAGATACTTAACGATTGTTTTTAATGCATACTTACGTTTCTGCTAATTTCCTTCCCAGTGGAAAGAGTATCAGAGATTATCTTAATATTTAAATCCGGAAAAGAACCAGAAATAGTAACGTTATATAGACCAATTAGCCTTTTATCTGTACTTTAAACAATTTTTGAAAAATTAATACTAGCTAGAATCAACCCAATAATATTCAACAGTAAACTTATCCCCGATTATCAATTCGGTTTTAGGTGTAACCACTCCACGATCGAGCAGGTGAACCGTATAGTATTTTTTACGAGGAATTCCATTGAAGATAAACAATACTGCGCTGGTATATTCCTGGATGTCGCCCAGGCTTTTGACAGGATTTGGCATGAAGGACTACTACATAAGCTCAGACTTTTTTTCCTGTTTGCTACTACGAAATACTACAGTCATACTTACAAAACAGAACATTTCAAGTAAAGATAAATAAGAATAAATCAAAACGCCAGTTAATAAAAGCAGGAGTACCACAGGGCAGTGTTCTAGGCCCAACACTATATCTTTTGTACACCTTAGATCTACCAAAATCTACAAATATATTAACAGCCACATATGCAGATGATACAGCAATCTTAACTGTACACTCAGAAGCAACAACAGCATCGAAAACACTACAAAATGACATAGATAATCACCTTCAGAATAGGTTTAACCCGTGGAGATTAAAAGTAAATGAAAGCAAATCAATTCACATAACATTCACGCTACGGAAAGATATCTGTCCTCCTGTTCAACTAACGATGAATGTATACCGCAAAGCAATCAAGTAAAATATCTAGGTATTCATCTAGACTGAAGACTTACATGGAAATAACATATATTCACTAAGCGTAAACAGTTGGGTCTAAAATGGAGAAAAATGTACTGGCTCATCGGAGGAAAATCGGAACTAACAATTGAAAACAAGTTGTTGTTATATAAGGCTATACTTAAACCAGTCTGGACTTATGGCATTCAACTGTGGGGTACTGCTTTAAACTCAAAAATCCAAACCATGGCAAGATTTCAATCGAAAGTCCTGCACAATATATGGGCTCCATGGTTTATACCAAATGAAATTATCAGAAATTATCTACAGCTGCCTTCAGTCAAAGAAGAAATCGAAAACTTCTATGAAAAATATAATACAAGACTACAAAACCATCCGAATAAACTAGTCAACAATTTTCTGAAGGCATCAATAGCCACAACTAGACTTAAAAAACATAAATTCATGAACGCGCAAATAGAATAAATTATTTAGTGCAATAATATTGTAAAACAAATACAGAATACTGTTGTGGAGTATTCTGCTATTTATGTTATAAATATCTAATAGTAATAACATTAGCTTATTGATATATTGTCTCAATATGTGAGACAGATTGTAAATACGCTTGGAGTAAAAATAAAAAAATTTTAAAAAAATTAAATAATGACTAGTTTCCGGTAACTACTATCCTTCTAAATAACTCTAATGAATAACGTACGTTTCAAACTTTTTGTCTGTGAGGCTGGGGTTTTCTGCAGTTCAACATTCTCGAACATAAGCTGGGATACCATCCAATCAATATTGGTTTTCGGTGTACCATTCACACCTCCTAGATCCTTGGCATGATCAATATTTAGCGAGATTTCAGATAAAGGTAAGACACCACTTATAGAATCTGAATATAATGACTTATCAGGAGTCGATCCATTACAAATTACAGCAGTTTGGTCCTTAAAAAAATTTTATATACACATTGTAATGGGGTAAAACCGTTTAATTATATATTTATTCGCGCAATTAAATCAAAGGGCGAAAGTAATTATCTATGCTCAAAATGCAGTCCGGAGAGCATGTGAAGACAGGCGTCAGTCAACCAGTAATTCTTACTGACCTATAATAAATTGAGTGGAAGCTATGAGGTGTAAGCGAGTCGAAAAACACTTGTTAGCAATACGAACTAAATCTTTTATTATTCCTCAAATACTACACAAGTTCGGCCCGCGCGTTTGTTTACATCGACGCTCGCTCATCGACAACGTACAGTGTCGGGACGCTCGCTGCGCTTTGTTAATAACGTTATTACATGCACGCTTCGGGAACGATAATTTATTCGTTAACCATGCAACCGCGATCACGAGATTAAGCTGGCCAGCTTACCTT